CCTCCTCTACAGATGGGGCTGCAGGGACAGCCCACGGGCTACCGTTTCCTCTCTGTGGTATTCCCCTCCCCATGACTCTGCAAGTCTGACCTCATCTCTTCTCTCCTTCTCTTTCCCCTGTGGTGAGGTTACGTTCTCTCACCTCTGCCCTTTCCCCATTCTGGTGCAAGAGATTTTAGACTACATACTCATGCCATGAATCTTCCTACCCTCTCTATTCCAGAGCCTACAGTGCACTCCCTGCCCCACTGAGTACCTGCAGGGATCATTGCCTCAGTCCCCATCTTCCCACTGGGAGGTGGCAAAGGAAGTAATCCTCTTCATAACAAGAGAAGGGATAACCAATCTCTATCTTCTAGGGGCTGAGGAGTCTGGGAGGGGTGTGTGGGATAGAAAGTTGACTCTCTTCTAGACCCTGTGAACCTGAGAACACCACACGTATAAGAACACAGCCAATTATACAGCGAAATAATAGGAAACTGTAGCAGAATCTTAATGCTGTAGTTCAGCTACTTTATGGATTAAGCTAGTTTTTATGGTACACTGGGAACCCAGTCATGATTTTAAGTGCGCTCCACATAATGACTTTCAATTAACTTTGGAACACAACCTGTCCCTAAGATTTGGACTACTTGGACTTTGCTTCTCTTAATTAAAATAATAAAATGCATTTTTCTAAACAAAAGAGCTCCTCTTGTAAAATTCACCATGTTGCCAAAATAGCACTCATCCTCAGCAACATTGCCCAACGTATATCACTGGAGTTCTCTTCAGGGCTCCAAAGTGCTCATAAAAGGAAACGACCGCACTTCTGGTTATAGCACCCAACCATCTTAAGAGGCAAGACAAAGAATGCAGCTTTTCTTTCTTTAAGGCATAGCTCTTCCTCTATTCTGAAGGCTAGAATCAGAAAAGGGAACTCTTGCAGCCACAGTCCCTCAGCTGATATAATAAAGCCTTAGCAGCTTTATAAGCAAATGGAAGTATGATGAGATAAGCGAAAATTCCAAAGGCTTGGAGGACCTGGCCGTGAAGCACTCCCACACCTCTCCGCTTTATGTAGAAAAGATTAGACGTTTGCTAGGAGACCAAAGAGAGTCATAAAATCTATTACTTACCATTTTTATTGAAAAGAGTTGACGTGCCTGGCACACAGTGACCCCGAAGATGCTGTAACTCGGACAGTGAATGTGCAACTTAGCTATGCAGGGTGTACTTCCTTTTTTGAACCGTGTGGTCTGTCTAGTTTTCACACATTGATATATAAGGTTTATTTGCATGTTATCTCAGCCCTCGGAGCATTTGTATAACTGGCCAGGTTTATCCAGTTATTATGCTTTAATAATATGAAAACAGCTACAGGTGAAGATTTGAAGTCTTAAATATTGACACAGAATTTTTTAAAAAGTGCCTGAATTGTAAACTCTGTGTATGTTATTAACCCATTTTATATAAAATGTGTGTTTGTGGACCTATCTATGTATCTATTTATTTATCTGCCAAGGACCCACATTAACATGTTAACAGTGGTTCACTTCGGTGGACGTATTATTACAAATAATCCTTATTTTGTACTTTGCTGACTTTCTGACTTTTTAATTTTGAATATATGGCACATTTAAAACAGAACTATAATCTTAAAAAGAGCAAAAAGATCATGATAATTTTAATCATCAATTCCAAATGCATTTAAATCTATCTCACCAATATTTGAACAGTGGACATATTTTAAGCTTATCATAGGACGTTACTCATTTCATTAAAAATATAAAGTACATGTCAGTCTAGGTTCATGCATTAATTTTTTGGTAATATTTGTTAGCACTCAGATGCCTCAATCTTTACACTGGTGAACTAGATATTCTTGAGTTAAGGGCATAATATTTGATCCCAACTAGTCAGAGTTCCCACCAATCTTCTCTAGTGCTTGTTTGAACTCATTCTGGTACATGGATTTTTACCTCCTTTATTTTTAATATATAGTCTATATATATATATATATATATATATATATATATATATACTGATACTAAAGTAATTTTAAGAGTAGAAGATCATCTTCATGTCCTATTGCAAAGGAAAGGCAACTGACTTCTTAATTTTGGGTTGCAAATTTCTAGATCTTGTATGTACTACCGCATTAACCTAGTAGAGAGACACCAATTTTTTTCATTTGATCCTGACCTAGTATTAATTACTACTGTGACAATAAAAATTCTTTATTAAATGGATACTCCCTATTATTTATTTCTTAAAATGAAAATATTTTTCAAAATCAAGATGTGGTTAGAAATATGGATAGAATCATTGCCACGGCAAGGCAGAACGGCAGGGCAAGGGTCAGGTCCCAGGGGTAGAAAGGAATTTGAGATTGCCTTGAAACTGTAGGTATTTTAAAGAGAGGTAGGCTTGAGGGCTTGAGGATAGTCGGGAACTAGGAGGGTAGTCAGAAATTGCACTCTCTGGCACATAATAAATACTCAATGAATTAACGGAGGAGGAAGATCAAAGCAAGGCAGATATGAGAACCGTGCATTCTTTTAGACATAAGCCATTGCCAGAAGACCTTAAAATGGAGACATTCTCTAGCTTAACTGAAAAGCCTCTCATCCACTATCTGTTGGAACAGTACAGTTTAGGGTCTAAAGCAGAGGGTTTTCATCTGGCAGCACGTTAAAATCACCTGGGAAGCTTTTAAAAATCCAAGTTTCCGGGCTTAACCCCAGACCATTAAATAAAAATCTCTACTTTGAGACCCAGGCATCAGTGTTTTTTAAAGTTCCCCAGGTGGCTTCAAAGTGCAGGCAAGCCCAGGCTCTACAAGGAGGAGCAAGTGACTCGTACGAGGAAGATGATAGATTAGGAGGCAATAACTTGATAGTACTGTAGAAATAATCCTGATGCTCTGACACTGTTTACTACCAAGCTTACCAACATATTTTCACCATGCGCTCCATGATAATTACTTATTCTTGGTCATTCTATGATTTTCTCTCTGGGCTGGTAATTGGGACAAAAATTACACGATAAACGGAAATCGAGCAATTTCCATTAACAACGTAGCTAACTGTACAAGTCTCTCATTAAAAGGATGTTGAGTTTTCAATTTATTCATTTGAGTTTCATTTCAATCTGTGTTTATTTCTAATTGCAGATTAAGGTTGTTATTGTTATTTTAGTTGTTATCGACATAAATTCAGCAGTCTCTCAAAAATATATTTAAGAGAAGTATCTTGGCTAAGAAAAAACAGGCTAGCTGTAGCTCTCATCCATAACTCACCAATAAGTTTTTATTTTTAGTTTTTGGAGCATAATCATTTTACTTACAAAAACATGTTTCAAGTATCACTTATGTGAGCACATTTCCTGTGAACTCAATTAAGTATGTAAATCCTTGAGCGGGAAGAGGAAACAGGAAATGCGAGAAAGCTGACACACAGTATAACGATACCATCTGAAGAAGATAAAGTTATTTTTTTGTGGTATGGGCGCTGCAGTTATTCCTGCTAGTGGAAGGGAGAAGTAGCCTAGAGAACACAAAAATGGTTATAATTCTTCAAATGTCTTCATAAATTTACATTCTAGAGAACTGTTTTTGTTCAGGCAATGGTAAAATGAGGCTGTCTCCCTGGTACAAAGTGACAGCTAGATGGAGACTGTGAGGCCCAGAGACATGGTGGGGTTGGGGGAGACTGGTGAATCCAGCTTCATTTTTTTAAAGTCAATTTACAAGATGGAGGGCGAGAATGCTGATGACAACGTAAGTAACACTACTTATCGAGCCTTATTTAAAAACGTTGTCACTGTTGTATCTATCAGGTTTTAAAAGGAGCATGGTTGAAGTTGTTAGCACAGAGGGTTAGAAAGACTTATAAACTCTTACACAGTTTCAGCTTTATAACCTGAATGGCTAACATTTTAGAAAAGAAACAGGATCATCTGCTTTACGTGCCCAACAATCACAGGCCTGGGCAAGAGCCCTGAGATAGGAGAACAGGAGGATATTGAGTCTCACCTCTCCCAGAAAGCCTTCTGTGTTGCTGGCTCACTCATCTCTCCCTTTTTCTGGACTCCTGCAGACTGCACCACGAAATGAAGCTCTTTGATGTTTCCCTTTTATGGTTCTCCCATTGTATCGGTTGCATTAAGTTTGGCTCCCTAACGAGATCTGAAACTCCTCCAGTACGAATTAATTTTATTACTTCCTTCTGTCACCCTAATATCCTAGAGTAGCTTTTATTTTTAAAGCTTTTTTTGTGACTCACGGGTTCCTTTCAGAATCTGATGACAGCAGTATATCGTTTGCACACTAATTCTGCGTGTGTACAGCCTCCCTTGAAGCCCATCCTTTATGGGAAGCTGTAGGAGAACTCTTGGCTAAAATATTGTCAAACACTGGGAGATGGTCACTACATTGGTGCTTTCTGATGACGAAGTGAAAGCACACAAATGTTAAGTGACCCCTTATGTTTCCAGACTAGGGAACTGGTCAGCTAAAACTTCATTATTTTGTAAACTTGTCTTTTATCGACATGCATTTGATCCTCGCCAGGAAAGAACAACTGAAACTCACAAAATAGATCCATAGAAATTCAAGGAAATTCTAGTTTCCTTGCGTGGAGAGATATGGAATAGCCAAATGGAAAGGAGCGGGATAAAAGCAGGATAAGAAAAGGCACGCTTTAAAAAGTTGTGCGGGAGGAAACGGCTAGCTTCTGGATTTGGCTTATTTCTCTTTCACTTTTTGTTTTGAAAACAAAATGGATTTTTTTCACTCTTGCACTTTCCTTTCCATTTTTGATGAAAGGAGGCCTTAATCCTTTCAGAACATCAATGCACTAGGAAGAAAAAACGTATTAATCAACTTCAGTGAAAAATCAATTCATCTTTCAGTAGAAGGAGAATTCCTACTATATTTCAATAGGATTGTTACCCCAAAACTGGGTTTGCCTCTTGGTGGGTGTTGAGCTAAAAGACACAACCAAGCCAAAGCCCAGGAGAAGGAAGGATTGATTACTTGCAGCCAGTAAGCAGAACACCAGGGATCTTTCTCAAAGCAGCATCTCCCCGAACAGAAAAACGGGGGGAGTTTTAAGGTAAGGATACATGCATATTCATGAAGGGGCTTGGGCAGTCAACAGAATCCAAGCTTTAGTTGACTGAAGTCACGTGGGGCAGCAAAGGTCAACATCATCATCTCTTAGATCCCAGTTGATCTGGTGGTTGAGGGCTTCAGGCTAATCTTTACCCTTGAAATAGAGCTAGGAGTCTTTACAACTGATATATTATCTTTGCTATTGTTATTTTTCTTGCCTGATAACAGTCGTTTATTTGTTCCTTTAAGATCATTAATTACTGAGACCTGTTAAAGGACATTGTGGCCAGGCTTAGAGCACCAAATGGCTTAGGCCAAAAATGGCTTCTCTTATGCCAAGAAAGCCATGCCTGGTTCTTTTTCTCTAGGGACCCCCTACCCTATCTGCTTAGAAGATGAGTAAACTGTATTTAAACTCAAGAAGGGCAGGGAACAATTGTCTCTACAATTTAAACTCAACCCCAGGCAAATGTTTACTAAACTCTAAAAAAAACCTGTTGAAATAGGACAATGGAGAAATAATCTAAACTTTACTTAAGGAGTCTTTTATCAAACCAATTAATTTGGAGAGCAAAGAGACAAAGAACAAAGCTTCTAGAAGAATCCTATGTTATATATTAATTTACTTACTACTTTCTCATTTGGGATATAATTTGTATCTTACCCTCTCTTGGGATTTGGGGAGCTCCTAGAGAGCTCTGTGGGAGTCTGTTGAGTCTTTTAATCCTTTTATCTCACTGGATCTCCAACAAAAGATTTAACTGACACCATCAAAATACACACCCTCATTGGATTGATTGTTGTGCTTGAAGATTTGTTAACAATAATTGCTCTTTAATGAATAAAAGAAAGAAAAGGTCCTACATGAAAAATAGATCTATTTTTCTTTTTGTCCTTCCGCATTCATTCATTCATTCCCAGTTTCCTTCCAAACAGGAAGGTTAGGCCAGAAAGTTTGGAAAATAAACTGATGTGCTTTGGGAATTTACAGACTCAGAGAAGATGACAAAGGGGAAATGGATCACTCCCCCATTCCTGGAATTCTTATCCTGTCCCACTGTCAATTAAGTGCAGGTGTGAATATACTCATTTTCCTAGTCTGTTGTCTAATTTTAAAATAGAAATATTTCCATTTCAGTACAAGATAAATACTGATGAAGCCTTACACCTTTCTTTGCACTCAGAATATATTTCAAATTTGTTTAAATTAGTCAATTTAAAAGCATCTCCAGTTTATACTCTTTTTCCTTGAGTTTCTTTCTTTTTTTTTTTTACTTTAGAATCACCCTATTCTCTCCTTCTCTCCATTTGAAAAATTACTCAACCTGTCTTTCTTTTTTCTTTTTTTTTAATTTTATTGGTGTAAAAATTATGTAGTTGCTTTACATGTTGTGTTAGTTTCTTTCAACCTTAGTCTTTTTGGTACCCTATTTCTCAAATGAAGATTTGTCAGACTGGAAGCCTTCCTAAACACAAAATTATTTATGACAATACAAAATTGGTCATACCTGAGTGTAACCTAGTGATAACTTTCTTTTTGGTCAGAAGGATAGGAATATTTCTATTTTCAATTCTGTAGTACCTTTTGGAACTAAATACTACTACTTAATAATGCTATACGGCAGACTTAGGGGTATGTATAATGTAGCTATGAAAACAAATGTAATAGAACACAACTTGTGAAATGACTCAATGTCACCCTGACCCTCTTTTCTCTTGTCCTTTCCAGGTAGATTGACTTTAGTAGGCTAACACACGGTTAAAAAAATCACTGTTCAACAAATGATACTGGGATATTCACATTGCAAAAGAATGAACTTGGAATCTTACCTTATACCATATACAAAAATTAACTCAAAATGGATCAAAGACCTAAACATAAGAGCTAATAAAACTATAACACTCTTGGAAGAAAACATAGGGGAAAAGCTGCATGACATTGACATTGGATCCAGGGATTTTTTTGGGTATGACACCAAAAGCACAGGCAACAAAAGGAAAAGTAGATGAATTAGACTTCAACATTAAAAACTTCTTGCAAATCAAATATCTGTTAAGGGATTAATTTCCAGAATATATAGAGAACTCCTACAACTCAACAACAACAAAAAACCTGATTAACAAATAGGCAAAGGACTTGGGCATACATTTCTCCAAAGAAAATATACTAAAGCCAATAACCACATGAAAAGATGCTCAACATCATTAATAATTAGGGAAGTGTACTTTAAACTCACAATGAGATACCACTTCATACCCATTAGGACGGTTATTATAAAAAAAACAAACTAAAACTCTCAAACACAAAAGATATTACACTAAGTGAAATAAATCAGATACAAAAGGACAAATGTTTTGTGAGTCCACTTATCTGAGGTACCTGAAATAGTCAAATTCATAGAGATAGAAAGTAGAATAGTAGCTACCATAGCTGGGGCAGTAGGGAATGGAGAGTTACTGTTTAATGTGTACAATACGATGCGCATTGTAATGAAACTCTTCATACGGAGTTTCAGTTTGGGATGATGAAAAGCTTCTGGAGGTGGAGAGTGGTGACGGCTGCACAATGTGAATGTGCTTAAAGCCACTAAACTGTACACTTAATAGTAACCAAATGGTAAATTTTATGTAATGTGTATTTTGCTACAGAAAAAAACACCTCCTCTTTTTTTTTTTTTTAAAGTATCATCAGGGTAAAATTATATTCAGGTAAGTGGTTACAAGAACAGAAAGCATATTCAGAACTTAACAGTTTGTAAATCTAACCAGGTTTTTTTGGGTTTTTTTGCTGTTAAGTTTTTTTTTTGATTTGAATTTTATTTTATTTATTTATTTTTTATATGGCAGGTTCTTATTAGTTATCTATTTTATATATATTAGTGTATATACATCAATCCCAATCTCCCAATTCATTCCACCACCACCTCCCTCCCCACCCCCCCACTTTCCCCCCTTGATGTTCTCTACATCTGTGCCTCTGTTTCTGCCTTGCAAATGGTTCATCTGTACCATTTTTCTGGATTCCCCATATATGCATTAATATATGATATTTGTTTTTCTCTTTCTGACTTACTTCACTCTGTATGACAGTCTCTAGGTCCATCCACGTCTCTACAAATGACCCAATTTCATTCCATTTTATGACTATTATTCCATTGCATATATGTGCCACATCTTCTTTATCCATTCTTCTGTCAATGGGCATTTAGGCTCTTTCCATGACCTGGCTATTGTAAACAATGCTGCAATGAACATTGGGGTGCACGTGTCTTTTTGAATTATGGTTTTTTCTGGGTATATGCCCAGTAGTGGGATTGCTGGGTCATATGGTAATTCTATTTTTAGTTTTTAAAGGAACCTCCATACTGTTCCCCATAATGGCTGTATCAACTTACATTCCCACCAACAGTGCAAGAGGGTTGCACTGTGCAAGGTAGATTGCTTTGGGTAATATAGTCATTTTCACAATATTGATTCTTCCAATCCTAGAACATGGTATATCTCTCCATCTGTTTGTGTAATCTTTGACTTCTTTCATCAGACTTATAGTTTTCTGGGTAGAGGTCTTTTACCTCCTTAGGTAAGTTTATTCCTAGGTATTTCATTCTTTTTGTTGCAGTGGTGAATGGCACTGTTTCCTTAATTTCTCTTTCTGATCTTTCATGGTTAGTGTATAGGAATGCAAGAGATTTCTGTGCATTAATTTTGTATCCTGCAACATTACCAAATTCATTGATTGACTCTAGTAGTTTTCTGGCAGCATCTTTAGGATTACCTATGTATACTGTCATGTCATCTGCAAACAGTGACAGTTTTACTTCTTCTTTTCCAATTTGTATTCCTTTTATTTCTTTTTCTTCTCTGATTGCTGTGGCTAGGACTTCCAAAATTATGTTGAATAATAGTGGTGAGAGTGGACATCCTTGTCTTGTTCCTGATCTTAGAGGAAATGCTTTCAGTTTTTCACCATAGAGAATGATGTTTGCTGTGGGTTTGTCATATATGGCCTTTATTATGTTGAGGTAGGTTCCCTCTATGCCCAATTTCTGGAGAGTTTTTATCATAAATGGGTGTTGAATTTTGTCAAAAGCTTTTTCTGCATCTATTGAGATGATCATATGGTATATCAATTTGTTAATATGGTGTATCACATTGATTGATTTGTGTATATTGAAGAATCCTTGCATCCCTGGGATAAATTCCACTTGATCATGGTGTACGATTCTTTTAATGTGTTGCTGGATTCTCTTTGCTAGTATTTTGTTGAGGATTTTTGCATCTATTTTCATCAGTGATATTAGTCAGTAGTTTTCTTTTTTTGTTGTATCTTTGTCTGGTTTTGGTATCAGGATGATTGTGGCTTCATAGAATGAGTTTGGGAGTGTTCCTTCCTCTGCAGTTTTTTGGAAGAGTTTGAGAAGGATGGGTGCTAGCTCTTCCCTAAATGTTTGATAGAATTCACCTGTGAAGCCACCTGGTCTTGGACTTTTGTTTGTTGGAAGATTTTTAATCACAGTTTCAATTTCATTACTTGTGATTGTTCTGTTCATATTTTCTATTTCTTCCTGTTTCAGTCTTGGAAGGTTATACATTTCTAGGAATTTGTCCATTTCTTCCAGGTTGTCCATTTTATTGGCATAGAGTCGCTTGTACTAGTCTCTCAGGATGCTTTGTATTTCTGCAGTGTCCATTGTAACTTCTCTTTTTTCATTTCTAATTTTATTGATTTGAGTCCTGTCCCTCTTTTTCTTGATGAGTCTGGCTAATGGTTTATCAATTTTGTTTATCTTCTCAAAGAACCAGCTTTTAGTTTTATTGATGTTTGCTATTGTTTTCTTTGTTTCTATTTCATTTATTTCTGCTCTGATCTTTATGAGTTCTTTCCTTCTACTAACTTGGGTTTTGTTTGTTCTTCTTTCTCTAGTTCCTTTAGGTGTAAGTTTAGATTGTTTATTCAAGATTTTTCTTGTTTCTTGAGGTAGGATTGTATTGCTATAAACTTCTCTATGAGAACTGCTTTTGCTGCATCCCATGGGTTTTGGATCATTATGTTTTCATTGTCATTTGTCTCAAGGTATTTTTTGATTTCCTCTTTGATTTCTTCAGTGATCTCCTGGTTATTTAATAATGTATTGTTTAGCCTGCAT